TGCTTGCCACTAGTTGCTTTGCTTCCGTCCCCAAATAATAAGCATTTGGTCTCTCTGCTCAGAATTATCATGTATTTCCTTCTTCCCTCTAGGTAGGTCACTAGATTCCTTTGTGAACAGTGGGCATCAAACAGTCACTAAAAAAACTAAATAAAGCAAAATATGTCTCAATATTTCTCTAGAGCATTGAGTCATATTACATGGAATTATAAAATACTACCAGAAAATGGCACTTTATATACCATAATAGTCATTTTGTAAAGTTCAGTTTGGCAATTCCAAGCCACATTTAATTTTCTCTGAAAATTCCCACATGGCAGAGAAGATATTGCTCTTTGTGGCTTTCAAATCTCTTTCGGGGAACTGTAAAATGACAACCTTTTAGAATTATCACTTCATCCATAAATAAGCACTAAATTACTTATATCAAATAAAGTCACCTATGTATTTTCATTAAAATAAATACTAAAATAATAAGTAGCTTTCCTATATAACCATCCTGGGATTTATGAGGTTTAGAATTCTGCATTTTACTTTAGTACAAATCACTTGCAGTTCTTCATCTCCACTGATAGGTGGGGCTAAGAATTTCTGTATTAATTATAATATTTTAGCATATTAAAATTTATATCTAGATGAAGCAGATACTTCAAAGCTTCAAAACTGATGAAACTGCATACTTGTCTTTTAAGGGATAAAACTGTTTGCATTAATATGTGAAATACACTACTAAAACACCCCCTGCTGATTTCACAGGCTTTGCAGGGAGTTATGCATAATTTTCTGAAAATTGAAAGACTGAGGATCAGATATTTATGGTGATAAAAATTAGATCTCAATAACTTTTAAAAACTTGGAAGAGTCTAAGGTGGAATTTTAAAAATTCAGTTCAACAACTATTTAACACATGTATGCATGCATGCTAAGTCATTTCAGTCGTGTCCAACTCTTCATGACCTTACGGACTTTAGCCTGCTAGGCTCTGCTGTCCATGGGATTCTCCAAGCAAGAATACTGGAGTGGGTAGCTATTCCCTTGAGACTTGCAGAGTCAGAAGATTGGAGTTTGGGACTCAACTGTGCCCTTGCTGGCTGCAGCAGTATATATTGAATATCTTTGTAAACTTCCAGTACAGAATTGAAATAAAAATTAACTGAAGTTAACTGTTTTGAGAATAAAAGATCATCCACTCCCAAATATTGATTACTGAAGACAGCATGACATAAGACAATAATTCTCATATTTAGATGTGAGACAATTTGTTAAGAATCCACCAATTCTCCATGTAACTGTGCTTTTGCTTTCAAGTTTTTATTTTTTATGTCGGTGTTAATCTTATAAAAGTTCATGTGAGCATATTCTGAAGCATCTGAATACTCTCCTTCTAACTGCACACACACATATATATACTCATGACAGCATGGTTGTCATTGTTCAGTCGCTAGGTGGTGTCCAACTCTTTGCGACCCCATGAACTGCAGCACTCCAGGCTTCCCAGTCCTTTACTATCTCCTGGAGCTTGCTCAAACTCATATCCATTGAGTCAATCATGCCATCCAACCATCTCATCCTCTGCCGCCCTCTTCTCCTCTTGCCCTCAATCCTTCCCTGCATCAGGGTCCCTTCCAATGAGTCGGCTTTCACATCAGGTGACCAAAGTAATGGAGCTTCAGTTTCAGCATCAGTCCTTCCAGCAAATATTCAGGGTTCACCTTCAGCATCAGTCCTTTCAGTGAATATTCAGGGTTTTCTTTAGAGTTGACTGGTCCAATCCCCTTGCTGTACAAGGGACTTTCAAGGGTCTTCTCCAGCACTACAATTTGAAAGCATCAATTCTTCAGGGCACAGACTTCTTTATGGTCCAATTCTCACACCCATACATGACTATTGAAAAAACCATAGCTTTGACTATATGGACCTTTGTAAGCAAAGTGATATCTCTGCTTTTCAATATGCTGTCCAGCTTTGTCATAGCTGTTCTTTCAAGGAGCAAGCATCTTTTAACATACTGGCTGCAGTTACTGTCTGCAGTGACTTTGGAACTCAAGAAAATAAAATCTGTCACTGCTTCCACTTTTCTCCCATGTATTTTCCATGGAGTGATGGGACCAGATGTCATGATCTTAGTTTTTGGAATGTTGAGTTTTAAGCCAGCTCTTTCACTTTTCTCTTTCACCTTCATCCAAGAGGCTCTTTAATTCCTCTTCTGCCATAAGGGTGGTACCATCCTCTTCACTTTCTGCCATCAGAGTAGTGTCATCTGCATATCTGAGGTTGTTGATGCTTCTCCCAGAAATCTTGATCCCAGCTTGTGAGTCATTCAGTCCAGCATTTCTCAAGATGTATTCTGCACATACGTTAAATAAACAGAGTGACAATATACAGCCTTGACGTACTTCTTTCCCAATTTTGAACCAGTCTGTCATTTCATGTTTGGTTCTAACTGCTGCTTCTTGCCCTGCATACAGGTTTCTCAAGAGACAGGTAAGGTGTATGGTATTCTCATTTCTTGAAGAATTTTCCACAGTTTGTTGTGATCCACACAGTCAATGAAACATGCCAGGATTACTGTCAAGTAATTTGACCTTTGTTTCTAAGCTAATGAAAACAGCCACAGGCTGACTTAAAGTATTGCTTTCATGTTACCCCAAGAGAAAGGCAAGCCACAATGGCAAAAACCCTGAATGAAGATTTGGTGGCTTCCTTGGTGGCTCAGAGGGTAAAGCGTCTGTCTATAATGTGGGAGACCTGGGTTCGATCCCTCGGTCAGGAAGATCCCCTGGAGAAGGAACTGGCAACCCACTCCAGTATTCTTGCCTGGAAAATCCCATGGACGGAGAAGCCTGGTAGGCTACAGTCCACGGGGTCTTAAAGAGTTGGACACGACTGGGCAACTTGACTTCAATTCACTTGGATCCAGAAAACTGATTTGAAAATTCAATCATTACATGGCACACTATAACATTTAGTAAGCTGAACTTTAAATAAAAGAATCCTGCCAGTCTGCATTAAGACCAGTAATTTAACATCATGCACCATTTGTTTTGGTTTTGTAGCTATAGATATGTATTTACTAAATTGTATTTTAGTTAGTCATATGAAAGCGACTCAGATGGTAAAGAGTCTGCCTGCAAGGCTGGAGACCTGGGTTCAATCCCTGGGTCAGGAAGATCCCCTGGAGAAGGAAATGGCAATCCACTCTGGTATTCTTGCCTGGAAAATTCCATGGACAGAGGAGCCTGGTGGGCTACAATCCATGGGGTCACAAAGAGTCAAACACGACTGAGCAACTAACTTTAGCTTTAATGAAAATGGTAAACAAGTTTATAGTCAAGATTCAGAATCTATACATTAAATAGCATTATAAAAATTAAAATGAACATACATTAATTAAATGATTAACTTTAAAATAATCTAATACTTCAGGGGTGTGGCCAAAATTGGGACTCAGAAAAGAAAGAATTCAGGTTAAAGTCCTTTAAGTCAAATGACCTCATCTCCCTCTATTTCTTCACAGTAAGGATAATAAGGATGGATTGGCTCAGTGGCAAAGAATCCACCTGCCAATACAGGAGAGGTAGGTTGGATCCCTGGGTCAGGAAGATCCTCTGGAAAAGGAACTGTCAACCCACTCCAGTACTCTTGCCTGGGGAATCTCACGGACAGAGGATCCTGGTTACAGTCCATGGGTTACAGTCCTGGTGGTTACAGTCCACGGGGTCACAGAGGAATCGGACACGCCTCAGAGACTAAAACAACAAGCTAAGGATGATAATCTCACCACATAGGACTGTTGTGAGGAGTAAATAAAACAATGACTATAACCTGTGAAGAAACACCTATCTCTTATTGCGGAAAATAAGGGTTCTGAGTAAAGAGTCTAGACTTTCAAAAATAGGATAAATATTACTGGCCTCCGTTCAGGGTGGAGGAAACAAAATCTTTAGAAAGGTGGTATAACCAAGTATTTGATATATACAAGAAAACGCTTCCCAAAGCCTAAAGCGCTAAACAAAGCGGCTTTTCTCACTGACTACATTTTGAAGGAACAGGAGTTGGGTTCTACTCTGGCTCTCTAGCAAATATGCTGTTGTCGTTTAACCCCCTGGGCCGCATTCACCTGCAAGTAATTATAGCAGTAACGGCCACCTTTGATAGCGGCTTTACCAAACACCATGCACTTGAACTACGTTCTGGGTTTACACACCAGAAGACCTCTCTCAGTGCCACAATCTTAAAACAAACATTACGTCCACTTAACAGATTTTTTAAAAATAACAATAAGGCTAAGAGAAGTTAGAAACCTGCCATACCACACCTGCTGTGCTGAGGTTCTAAAAACATCCACCATAAGAGAATTGTTAGCAATCAAGTCTTGGCGTTAACAACGGGCTATCCCGCAACCCTCCACAGCGGCGCTTTTAGGACCGCCCATCCGCCAGGTGGGGCTTCCCTGTGGCTCTGTTGGTAAAGAATCCGCCCGCAGTGCGGAAGAGCTGGGTTCAATCTTTAGGTTGGGAAGATCCCCTGGAGAAGGGAACGGCTACCCACTCCAGTATTCTGGCCTGGAGAATTTCATGGACTGTGTAGTCCACGGGGTTGCAAAGAGTCGGATACGACTAAGCGACTTTCACTTTGGAGTCAAACTCAAAAAAAATCCTCCACAGGTGAACTTCATTCACCAATCCTTGGCTCCGCCCCTCCTCCCTCATACCCAGGCCCCGCCTCTCCCCGCCCCGCCATCGCTCCGGCCACCGCCCACCTCACGTGCAAAACCCGAGCGGGTACCCAGCCTGCACCGCACCTAGCAGGACGGGGAGCATGCGCTTTGTGTGCGCCTGGATTTCCTGTTCGCGTCCTTCGCTTCCGGCGGGGTACGTCTAACCAATCAGGTAGGCTCGGAGGTGGGCCATAGTTCTCCCAGGCTCCTCCCCCTGCTTTCACTTGAGGAGCGTTGGAGGAAAGTCAGGCGTGAGACCTGTACCGTCAAGCCGGGGTTCATGGCTTCCTCCAGGACGCTCGGCACTTTCCGTCTCCCGCCGTTGCCCACGATTCGAGAAATCATTAAGTTGTTTAGACTGCAAGCCGTGAAGCAGCTATCCCAGAATTTTCTTTTGGACTTGAGGCTGACAGGTGGTTTATCAGCGTTCCCCCGTCGTCTCCCTCGTGTCCCTGGGGGAGTGGGGTCGGGGAAGGTTTCGCGCGGACCCTGCGGGCGGGCAACGGGGTTCAGGCACAGAGGTGTGCGGTGGCCGTAGGTCAGACTCTTCTGCCGCTTTGCCCTGAGAGAACTCCGGAGCCCCACCGCCCAGGGGGTGTGTAGAGTGTGTCGTTTGCTCAGGGGCGTTTGCCATAGGCTTTGGAAGGCAGGCTGTGTGGACGCCGAGCAAACACTAGCTTTGGAAGGCTTCGCGTCTCCTGAAAGGCGCTTGTGGAATTCGAATCTTGGTGTGTTACCAATAAGGAATACATGCACGTGCTGACTGGTTTGGCTTTTTATGTCGTTAAACTTGCAGGGACTTTATCGGTAACAAGTTGGAAGAGTATCAATGGCGTTCGATATTTAAACGTTTACTTGTTGAATGTCACCCTCGAGGGTGCAGATATTCATTGTAACACTCATGGAACCAGCCCCTTTGTGCTAGAGCTGAAGTGGGATATAAGAGTGAGCTAGGCCAAGTTGGTCCCCAAGAAGCTTACATTTTAAGGTTAAGTTTGCTTTCCCACTCCCTAAGTCACGTTTTATGAAGTAGAATTTAGATACAATAAAATTCACCTGTTTGAAGCTCACAGGTGGATAAATTTTGACAAATGTATATAGTCGTTTAACCTCTACCACCTTTTCTTCGTCCTGGTCTTTCTGAAAGATGAGACTACAAGAAAAAGATTATTAGAAATACGTCTGTTCACAGTTGAAGTACATAGCATTTCTGAGGTTTTGATATTTCATTCTGTTTGGCTCCTCTTCAGAAACTGATTCAGTAAATCACATTTCGAAAGTTATGTAGTACAGGCCAAAAGCAGGAATGGGTTGTTTTTATTTCTTGAATGTAGAGTAGCAGTGTGGGCAGGCCAACAGTGATGTAACACAGTAAAAAAAAAAAAAAAGAACTTGTTTTCAGTTTTCTTATTTAATTGGGCGAGAGCTCTACCACAAGAGCTTTAAAAGGTCATCCACCTGGAAAATTCTTTGGTCCTGAGATGGTTGGATGGTATTACCAACTCAATGGAGTTTGAATGGGCTCCGGGAGTTTGGTGATGGACAGGGAAGCCTGATGTGCTGCAGTTCATGGGGTCACAAAGAGTTGGACATGACTGAACTGACTGAATAGTAACTAGAGCCAGCCTTTTCGGGTAGTCATTAGCTGCATTCTAGATATAAAGCACCATTCCCAAGACTGAAAATAGAGATCTTTATATTGAGAAAAAATCCTTCATATGCCCTTTCTCATGTTGAGTCTTTATTCACCTTCAGGAATCAATTTCAGAATCTAGATACTATTGTTCCCTCTTCTGCAGGAACCAAAGTGAAGACAAATTAAGGTACTTGTGTGAGGTGAGAAGCTCAGGTGTGAAGAGAGCAAGATGGAACCCCAGGTGTAGTGACTTGACAGTGCTCTTTGGTATCCATTTGTGTTTGAATGTTTCTGAAAGGTTTAAGGTGAAAAGATTGTCCTACCTACTGTCGTAGCTTTCCGTTAAAAAAAAACTATTAAAATCACTCTGTAATACCTGTGCTCAATGCAGCATCTCTGCTCCCTCTGAGAGGTAGTCGTCTTTTGTGGAGGAAGGGTTGGCTTTAGGAGTTACACCTGACCTGGTGTCCATTTGTTTTCCAGGTAACCTCACTCAAAGTAATAAATGAAGAAACTGGAAAGTTCAGAGAAGTTAAAATGAGGTAGTAATTCTGAAGTTAGGGCTTCACAGGTGGCGCTACTGGTAAAGCACCTGCCTGCCAGATCAGGAGACTTTATAAGAGACATGGGTTCAGTCCCTGGGTCAGGAAGACCCCCTGGAGAAGGGAATTTTCTTGTCTGGAAAATTCCATGGTCAGGGGAGCTTGGCAGGCTACAGTCTATGGGATCGCAGAATCAGATGCTACTGAAGTGACTTAGCACAGCACAGTTCTTCGTTCATGTGTTGTAAGGATTTGCTGTGAGAAAGCATGTTAAACACTTATAACATGGTCAGTGTATGCTTGTTTTCTCCTGGAACCCATTGAAGAGAAAACTATTCTTGGATAATTGAGAGATTGTTTTTGCCTTTAAGCCTACAAAGGTAGGTTATCAGTAACAAGCACAAATGAGACTGTACACTCAGTGAACAGTGTAAAGTGCTAGTGTGTTTTCAGTGGCTAAATTTCTACCATCCAAGAGGCCCAGCTGCTTGGATTTTAACATCTCAGTCAACAAGATTAGTCTGTTGCGTTTTTCCAGAAGGTTGGTTGCAATGAATCCTCAGTAATGTGCTTTTCCATGCTTTCTTAAGGTCTGCTAATGTAAATTGATTAAAAAATTAATTTTCTCATATCAACTTGCATATTTGCAAAGCTCAACAAACTTCACTGCTAAATTTAACTTTTTCCTAAAAATAACCAAGAATCTCAATTTCTCTAAGTCCTACTAGCTAGGAACTTGGTACCATTGCCATGTTGACCACCAGCTCGATGTCTGTAGGTAAAAGTGAATACTGCCAGCACTTTTCTGCTTCTGAATTTCTAACTCGCAACATTGGAAACTGTGAATGTGAAGCTAGCCTTGCTTATTCACATAATTGATATTCAACAACTGTAGAGAAGTGGTTTGTGTTTTTCCATCACTTCTTATATTGGTTGGTCTGGCAGACAAACAGGTGAAAAATACCGTGTGTGCGCATGCTTGGCTGCATGTGCACTCAGTCGTGTCCGACTCTCTGCAATCCCGTGGACTATATTCTGCCAGGCTCCACTGTCCATGGGATTTTCTAGGCAAGAATACTGGCATGGATTGCCATTTCCTTCTCCAGGGGATCTTTCCAACCCAGAGATTGAACCCTTGTCTCTGGCATCTCCTGCATTGGCAGGCAGATTCTTTACCACTGCACCACCAAGGAAGCTCTCAGAAAATACCATGTTTATTTAAGTTAAAGAAATTTGTCATGGTAATCCTATTTTTATTAAGGGTCTGGTAGAATTCAACAGTTACATGGTAGACTTTTGAATGGCTACTGTACATTGGTTTAGGCTGAGTTAAATAATCTGATAAATACTGCATATAAAAGATTAATTGGTTGAGTAATGCTGATAAGAATTCGTGTAGATTATTTTTCATTTTGAATTCCATATGTTGACATTTGCCAAGGTAATCGATTCAAACTTTCTTTTCTCTAGATAAAATTGTAAGGAAAGCTGGCAATCTGACAAATGCTTATGTATATGAAGTGGGCCCTGGGCCTGGGGGAATCACAAGATCCATTCTCAATGCTGGTGTTGCTGAACTTCTGGTGGTTGAAAAGGATAGTCGATTTATTCCTGGATTACAGGTGAGTTGCTGAAAATATCTTACTTAGGAGGTAAAAACCCAGTTTAAATCTTCAGGCCACGATTCTTAAACCTCGGAGTATATAAGATTTCTACAGTTTGCTCCTCAAACTGCAGTTCTCCAGGCCTCATTCTAGAGATTCTGATTACAGTGATCTTGGAGTGGTCTAGGAATCTGCATTTCTAACCACCATCCTCACATGAATTGTTGGCCGCAGCTTGAATAAACCAGCTTTATGCACTGATGCTCAGCAAGCTAATTTTGTGACTTTTTTGACTACTAATAGCTGTGCATGACATGGCACCCCACTCCTTCAAAAATAAGTAAAACTGAGAAATGCTAACAATGTCTCAGTTATTGGCATGGCTTCTGAGAACCTCCTTTAAATTCAGAAAATCATTTCTACAAGCACAAGGTAGAGAAGATACATGCCTCACTGAGAGAAAGTAATTGTTAAGCTCAGGCATTTGTATAAGGATTTTTTAATTGAAGAAATTTAAGTTGTGCCATAGGTTTAAAATGAGGTTTGAATAAAATGATCATTGTTGTTCTTTAGTCTCTAAGTCATATCAACTTTTTTGCAACCCCATGGACTATATAGCCCACCAGGCTCCTCTGTCCATGAGAGTTCCCAGGCAAGAATACTGGAGTGGGTTGCCATTTCCTTCTTCAGGAGATCTTCCTGACCCAGGGATCAAACCTGAGTCTCCTACATTGACAGGCAGATTCTTTCCCACTGAGCCACCTGGGGAGCCGGAATGAAATGATAAATGTATCTTTAAAACAGTAGGTGATGTCCTATGAGAAGTGTTTGAAGAAACTGGTTGTATTTCGGTGGCAGAGAAGCCTTGAGTGAGGGGATTCGTAGCTACCTTTCCAAAACTGCGGTGGGGAGGATCAGCTTGTTTTTGGTCTTCTCTGGAAGAGAATTAAAACAGATAATTGAGGGAGGCAGGTGGATTTAAAAATGAGAAACTTAAAATTTTAAAACAGTATAATACAGTGGAACAGATTATATAAGGGATCTTATAAAGGGATTCTTCATGGGGAGCATTTACACCTAATGGCTTAAGGGCCTTTGTTTGATTCCTCTGCAACTGGGAAACTTTAAAAGAGCCCTTAGCCTTTGGTTCATAAGAGTAGCAATTTATTAAGTGAGTCCAATAGAATAATAAAATTAGCTACATTGTTACTTTCATATAGGGGGACAAATTGGTTTAAAATTAGTACACTCTAAAACTTGTGTATTAATGGATAAATGTTTAATTTCTGCCAGAACAGTGAGAAAATCTAGTGCTTGCGTTTATGCCTCTGGATATTTTTAGAAACCCAGTGAGTTTTCTTCTCATTGTTTTGCTATATCCAGCCTTTATGCTTTAAAAAAAATTACGTATTTAGTTTCACTTAATTTTTTCAGCCTTGACAAAATTGGTTTCAGATTTATGACTTTATTTGGGGATTATTATATGGTGCAATATTCCTTGATTAAATGTGGAATTTAATAGTGATTTCTGCTCTGAACCAGTTTCTTTCAAGAATGGTGTTATCACTTGGAGGTGGAAGTTGTAACAGTGTTATTTTTAGTGGGAGCATAAGATGATAAAAAGAAACTGAATAACATTACACAATTCCCTGCAGGTTCATTCATCTAGTCCTTCTGTGGGCATAGAGAAGACTCTTTGTGACTTCTTTTCCCCTTAAAGGGATGTCTTAACCCTAAATCTCACCCTTTATTATGTGTAATTCTTTCTTATTAGGCAGGCAGGTGAATCACATTTCGCATCACCAGCTTAATTTACAAATCCTCCTCTCTGATCTCAACGAAAGATCTTTTGAAGACAGACCGACAGACTGCCACACTCTTTTCACTGCCCCCTCCAGTATCCCTGCACTCCTAACTTCTGCCTTGTTTTAGTTGTCTCATGAGATTTATCATCATCTGGCACACCGTATGTTCTTATTTGTTGTCAGTCTCACGTCTTTGAGGTCTTCGCTAGTGGCTCAGACAGTAAAGAATCCTGCCAGTGCAGCAGACTGGGGTTCGGTCCCTGGATAGGAGAGATCCTCTGTAGAAGGGAATGGCTCCCTTCTCCAGAATTCTTGCCTTGGAAATTCCATGGACAGCGAAGCCTAGTTTGGCTACAGTCCACAGGGTTCCAAAGAGTCAGACACAACTGAGCGACTTAACACTTCTTCACCCCTCTGGAGTGTAAGTGGCATGAGGGTCGGTGTTTTTGTCTGTTTTGTTCCCTGCTATATCTCTACAACATGTGAGAGTGCCTGGCACATACCAGGTATCCCTGCTATATCTACAACATGTAAGAGTGCCTGGCACATACCAGGTGTCCCTGCTATATCTAATACATGTAAGAGTGCCTGGGACATACCAGGTGTCCCTGCTATATCTCTACAACATGTGAGAGTGCCTGGCACATACCAGGTGTCCCTGCTATATCTCTACAACATGTGAGAGTGCCTGGCACATACCAGGTGTCCCTGCTATATCTCTACAACATGTGAGAGTGCCTGGCACATACCAGGTGTCCCTGCTATATCTACAACATGTGAGAGTGCCTGGCACATACCAGGTGTCCCTGCTATATCTACAACATGTGAGAGTGCCTGGCACATACCAGGTGTCCCTGCTATATCTCTACAACATGTGAGAGTGCCTGGCACATACCAGGTGTCCCTGCTATATCTACAACATGTGAGAGTGCCTGGCACATACCAGGTGTCCCTGCTATATCTACAACATGTGAGAGTGCCTGGCGCATTCCAGGTTCGGTAATGTTTCACATGGAGATAAAAAAGTTGACTCTTTGTAGGTATCTAATTAGATGATTAAATGTATTATTTAATGGTGAAACCAAATAATTGTGTATCGTTGATTATCAAAGTTTTGTGCTTTTTTTCCTAAATATGAAGGTTGATTTCAAGGTAAATTGCTGTGTAGGAAATGTATATTTGACTTCTGTTTCTGTAGAAACAGCAATATTAATTTTTAGTGTCACATGTGCAGGAAAAGAATTTGCCTTAAAAAGAAATGTTGGGTACTAAAATATCAAATAGACTTTTTCTTGTAAAGAATGTTTCAATATGTAAAACCACTTTCTTTTAGAGGTACTAAATTAATCATAAAACTGAGTAAAGGCAGAAAGAGTGGTCTATTTTAAGGATTCCATTTTAGTGATATCTAAGCTAATAGAATTACTTTTTAAAGAAATTGTAATAATTTATAAAATGTCTGCTAGCTGGAAGTATGTCATTTGTAGCTGAATTCAAGTACTTAAAATATTATCACGAGGCAGCCTAGGGAAAAGAACATAGTGATAACATACAGGTTTTTCACTATTAGCATGTTGTAAGAAAACGTGTCTAATACATGAAAGCATTGTAGTGTGATTTTTGTAGTGAAGAACAGACTCTTAGCGTCAAATGACCTACATTTGATGTCTGGCTCTACCATTTACTACTTATATGACTTTGGGCAGGTAACTCTCACTGTGCCTCAGTTTGCTCATAGGATTGTTATAGTTTAAATGAATGCCTTATCTTAGTAGGCACTCAGTACAGTTTTTGATATAGGTAATCAAAGAAATTATCATCTCCATGCCTTGAGCAGAGCTTCCCAGGTGGCTCAGCGGTTAAGAATCCACTTGCTAATACAGGAGCCTCACAAAACTCAGGTTCGATCCCTGGGTCAGAAAGATCCCCTGGAGGAGGAAATGGCAACCAGTATCCTTGCCTGGAAAATTCCATGGACAGAAGAGCCTGGCAGGCTACAGCCCATAGGGTCACAAAGAATCAGACACGACTGAGCGACTTTCACTTCATGATAACATTGAGACTTTCTCTCGCTCATCAAACTAACACTGAGCACCAGGGCTTGCTTTCTGTTAATGTTGTAGCATCAAGAAAGGGAAAGGGATTGAAATCTTCAACTCTTAATTGCAGATTTGGCTGTTTCTCCTTATAATCCTATCAGGTTTTGTTTCATCTATTTTGAAGCATTGTTACTGGGTACATAAACATTTAGGATTGTTGTATCTCTGTGATAGATTGGCTTCTTTATCATTTTGAAATGATCTTCACTATCCCTGGTAACATTCATTACTTTGAAATCTACTTTGTCTGATATTAATATAGCCATTTCAGCTCTCTCTTGATTAGTGTTAGAGTGGTATATCTTCTCCACTCATTTTGCCTAATTGTGTTTTTATATTTAAAATGTTTTTCTTGTAGCCAGTGTATAGTGGGTCTTGCACTTTCCCCACCAATCTGGTCATCTCTGCCTTATGTATTAGTTTTCTATTGCTGCTGTAACAAATTACCACAAATTCAGCAGCCTAAAATGATACATTTATTCTGTTACAGTTCTCAGGAGTTAGAAGTCTAAAAGCAAGGTCAGGGCTGCATCCTTTGGAGGCTTCAGGGGAGAAGCTATTTCCTTGCCTTTTAAAAAAATTTTTTATTGAAGTATAGTTGATTTACAGTGTTGTGTTCATTCCATATGTAAAACAAAGTGAATCAGTTATACATATATCAACTCTCTTTTCCTCATTCTTTTCCCATATAGGTCATTACGGGGTATTTAGAGTTCCCTGTGCTATATATAGCAGGTTCTTATCAGCTACCTATTTTATTTAAAGTAGTATGTATATGTCAATCCCAGAATCCCAATTCATCCCTCCTCTGTATCCTCTGGTAGACTGTCCCTCCTCTGTATCCTCTGGTAGACTCTTAAGTTTGTTTTCTATTGATCCCATCATGACTCTACTTCTGTTTTGAAAAGAAGTTTTTTTTTGTACCCCTCTTTTTTAGGTTCCACATATAAGCAATGTCATATATTTGTCTTCTGTGTCTATTTTACTTCACTACATATGACAATTTCTAGGTCCATCCAGGTTGTGGCAGATGGCATTATTTTGTTCTTTTTTATGGCTGAGTAATATTCTATTATACACACACACACATTTATACCACATCTTTATCTGTTTT